GCCGCAGGCCCCCTATCCTGCGCGGCGAGACGCGTGAGGAAATGCGTCAGAATGAGGATGAGTTGCTGCTAGTCATGGAGCGCTTGTACAACAGTCTCCGCAGGTCGCACGGCACCGTCCTCTCGAAGCTCCTCGGCATCCGCTCGCAGCACGCGATGCTCGCGGGGCCTGGCCCCCTGGCGGGGAAGCCCCGCTAGCGGCGCTCAACGGCGTCGAGAACTGGCGGGGCCCAGGTCAGAGGAAGCTCCCGGTGACCATCAAGATGCAGAGGCGGATCAGGGGGGTGCTACGCCCAGGGGGTGGCGCGGATGGTGCGGCTGTGTACCTGTGCGTGATCTTCGCATTTTTCTTCATGGCGCGGATCGGGGAGTACGCGCACCCGGGCCTTTGGGATCTGAAAGAAGGTCTTGGCGGGTCTGGACATTGCCCCGAAGTGCAAAGGTGAGCAGATGAGCCACTTCGCTGCGGCAGGCGAGGCGGTGCTGTTGTTCAAGTCGTCGAAGGCAGACCAGAAGTGCGCGGGCCAGGCGAGGCGCCGCTACCGCTCGAAGGACACGGGCGGCGTCGGCCCGGCGTGGGCGGCGGAGTGCTACAACCGCTGGTTCCCGAGCCGCATCTCGGGCAAGGGGGCGCGCCGGCCGCTCGCGAGGCGGCCGGGCGGCGGCCCAATCGCGCGGGGGCGCGTCCAGGACCTGCTCCAGATGGGGCGGCGCTGGAGGGCTGGCCGCCGGACAGGTTCAAGGGCCACTCGTTCCGCGTTGGCGGAGCGACCGCCCGGCGCCCTTGCTTCCAGGACTCCGATTAGGTGAAGCGGTAGGGGCGGTGGAACAGTGGGGCTTTCCATCAGCACCACTGGGGGGCGAACATGGGCGCGGCGGGGGTCTTCGAGGCGATGGCGAAGTCAGCAGCGACCCTGCACGTCGGCTATAAGCAACGGCTGCGGGGGGAGGCGCCGCCACCAGCGAAGCAGGAGGAGGCAGGGCGCTGGCCTGATCCTAAGGCGCGGTGTCGAGGATCGCCATTTTGGCTGCGGTGAGGTAGAGTGTTTGGGCTGGCGGCGTGACTGCCAGGTCGGGCTGCGGCCCGGAGAGTTCCGACGGCTGCGACGCAGGGGCCGCTGAGGAGGCCAGTGAAGGATTGCCAGCAGTCTGGGGGGCGGTGGCCCGGGGGCAGCGAGTTGGTCACAGCCAGAGGTCGTTTGAAGAGGAGCGAGCAAGCACGATGCAGGCGGAGGTGGAATGAGTGCTGGGCGTCGGGCCAGGTCCCGCCCAGTCTCCCAGTTCGGGCGGGGGCCTCGAGGTGGCCCCGCGGCTCGCGCAGCTCCGGCAGCGGCGTGGGTGAAGCTGCAGCCCAGCGGCGAGAACCCTTCGGCAGCGACTGGCGCCGAGGTTCTAAAGCAGGGATCGGTGTCGCCACGCAAGGCTTGCTGTCCAAGGTCGAGATTTATGATCAGCAAACACATCCAGTGACACTGGGCCTCAATGGTGGATCAGGAAGTATGGTAACATGCACATGTGGCGCAATGCAAAAACAAAACAAAACACACCTCGCAACAGGCGACCTATTTTACGACGACGACGCGATGCTCTTAGAAAAAGGCCCAGGCGCTCTCCATAAACGCTTAAACAGGGTGGTGGCGATCGGTCAAGCATGTGGGCTGGGGCTCAAAGAAATGTCCCGGCCTGTTGGGCACTTCGTTCAAGCCAAACCCAATGCCGCTTGTTTGGGCGGCCTTACTAGCACTGTGCGGAGGCCGCCGCGGACTGAGCTCACAAGACGACTTGGCGAAGAGAAGAGCGCTGTTCAACAGCTATGCAGTGTCTGGAAGCAGGCGAACATTCGTTGGCAACGGAAAACACGCAGATTACATAGTTGTTCCGCATTCTCTCCTCATGAGTGTGTGTATGCGAGCTGTGTGTCCAATCATAACGGGAGTTGATAGTTTGAGCAGTTTCAAGACTAAGCTCCTCAGGATCACCCTTGAACTAGATGGTGCGCACCACTGTCCATCATGCCGTTCCAACGGCATCATACCTACTACGGTCAGTTTGCTCGGGGTCTTCTGAATACATCCCAGAGGGAAGCTGCACAGCTTTGTACATAGGAGGCGGGATTTTCTTCGCAGGCGAGGGTGCCCGCGACTTCAGACGTTGTGTGCGTGCACGGGATCTGTGCGTAGCGCGCGACAGCCCTGTCGACTGAGAATTGTTGCCGCCGTCGTCGGCTGAGTCATGGAACGCTGCAGTCTTAAAGTGTTGCGAATCACTGTGGTCATTTAGCGTGCCCTCCCGCCTTCGCTCCTCCTCTCCCCGCCCTGTCCCCTTCCCTCGCCCCTTGCATGTGTTCGGTGATATCGTTCTCTTATGCGCCGCCCAACGTCTGCCTGTGAACAGTGTCTGTGTGCCAGCGCGCTTTCAATCTCGTGTTAGCCGTTGGTCTTGGCTTTAGTTTCAAGTGGTTTTGCCGATACGCCGTCTAGGCGCAGTTTCGCGCGTGCTAGCAGCGGCGCAACAACTACTCACCCATTCGCAACCACAGTGCGCGCGC